ATTTTGTGTTTGTTAGGACATAATTATTTATTTCTCGAGGACCATTTTATGTGGTTCTGTTGTCGACTTACTGTTCATACTTTGGGGATAAATACGGTGGGTTCGTCAACCATTTTTGTGGTTATTTATAATAGAAACGGAGGAAGGCCCCACCCACCATCCATCCATCCAATTCCTCGATACAACCTTTCACCTAAATAATCCATCTTTGCAAAGACTTAACTTCTCCTTCTTCACCTTATTTACTTGTACCTCCAGATGGTGCTTACCTTCCGAAGCCCAACATCCATGGCGGCCTTAATTAGAGCCACCCTCAGAGACTTCTGAGGTCAGATAAAGCTTCAGCCGCGAGGTCTTAATGCTCTGGCCAGCCTCACAATAAACTCTGACCAACCCAAGCTACAAATTTGAACTCCACTATCATCCTGAGACATACTCATGCAGCAAGTATTTCACATGAGTGAAAATTCTTCAACAAATCCAACTCCTCAAGCTTAATCCCATCGTTTTATGACACAAACCACAAAAGAAGAAATTTCTTCCAAGAGTAGGAATATAATAGTATCATTTATGATAAGTTCTACTTCATATTTGCCGAATAAGACGAACTAGTATCTTATCTAGTTACTCTAGTAGCTTGGATTCTTCATATGCAACAAGCAAGCAAGTCATCCTTTCGAAAAGGATTAAATATTCTATTGACTTATAGAGAATATAGTTATAATATTATCTCAGCTTGCATTGAGTTACCTTGGTCTTGAACTGTTTCCTCTTCTTCGATGACGAGGCTCCAGCTTCGTGTGCCCCGTGAACTTTAGTTTCACCGGAACACGCATCCTAAAGTCACAAAATGACTAATAAATGGCATTCATAAAGCAAGTTGTGGTCCCGAGTATCCAATACCTATCATCTTTGTATACAAAGCTGTGCCCATCGTTCCTCACCATCTAGTAGTATTCGATCAACATATGTATGCTTATATAGATAGATAGATAGATAGATAGATAGATAGATAGATACAGGTGACAAAAGCATAATCACCATCTATCTCGACAGAATGGTTTACTCATGTCACTGTGGGTGATGATTCGGTGTATCACTCATTTTATATCTCAGAATTCAGCTCAGAAATCTTTGCTTTTCTTCCATTATTCTTGACCATTACCGAGGTTTTCTATAAAGAATTATTTTTTTGTTAAACATTTTATAAAGAACTTGCAAATGTGAAAGATACGTAATCAATCAAACAAAACAAGCAAATTTCACATTCAAGTTTGTCCTGAATTGAGAAGATCTTACCTACCGCCCCGCCAGACTGTGAACTCCTCCCTGTTGATGGACATAGATAACTGTTATCATAAGCTCCCAAGCCTTGCAAAGCTGCTTGCGATTGATAGCTCCCAATCGCACTGGGACTGATGCTGTTCATCTATCTCCACCACACTTGCCTCCAACAAACCCTGATCCAACTTCATATGGTAGAGTCGTCCAACTCATGCTCAAAGATGGTGACATCTCTATAGCCACTCGCGCCCTAGTTTAGTACTCTAATCCCAGCATTCTGTCGAACTAATTACGTATTAGTTATCTTTATCTTAATCTCTATATTTTTTTAAAAAAATTATATTATAGTAAAACATCTAAATTTATTTATCATAATATTATTAGTTTTATTAACAAAAATATGAAAATAAATGATAAAAAGATAATTTTAACATTTCGATTAATATAGTGGTGGCGAACGACGATGTCGCTAGGAACCATATGTGACTATCGTAGATGAAGAGAACGATAATAAAAGGTAAGAACCCTTTCGTTGCTCTACTTTTATGTCGACGTCGACATAAATGTAAGATGACCCTTGCTTCTCGTCGTCGTTCTCCTCAACTAAAATAGTCACCCGTGTCTCCCAACAACATCATTGTCCGTCATCATCAATTAAAATATTAAAATTATTTTTTTACTATTTTTTTTATTTTTATTTTTTATTAATAAAAATCGATAATATTAGGATAATTGAATCTAAATATTTTACTTTAATAATTATAAGAGATATCAATATATTTTTTTTTAATATTAAGTTGATATCATGCCCCATTAATTCTGCTACTGAATTGAGTCCCATTAATGATTGAGTCGCTTAGGTTATGGTAAGATCATTCGCCTGCTAGCGTCGTTGCCACATTAGCAATCCCCACTACTTGGTTCTTTGGCCTGAACCCCTTGAATGCCCTCTAGTAATCCAACTCGCACCCCTCAAAAAAACTTCTTCGGCTCCTCCAGGACCTTCTTGCAACCTTCGATTGTCTTGTAGATGAATATTGTATATTCTTGCAGTTTGCTTGTGGTCTTGTTGTACCCCAAAGGCCCCTTGATCTCCCCAAATGTAGTGAAGAAGACGTGTAGATGTTTTCAGTCCCCGTGGTCGTCGATGTTGCTAACGAAGATTTTACGATCGGTGAGCTCGGTGATGGGACCCTGGGAGCCCAGGGGGCCAAAAGAGGCAAGCTGGCGGGAGGTAATGCAGTTGTCGATCTTCTTCTAGGGCTCCTGGAGCACCTGCTTTATAGCAGCATAGGTTTAGAAGAGGATGAAGTTATAGCCCTTACAGTTGCTAATGGCATCGTTGGTGACGGCCTTGCACTCGTCGACTCCATAGAGCGAAAAGGCAATGGAAAGGACCTCGGTAGTGGCATCCCAACCAAGGCCATGGATGAAGATATTGCGGTGGATCAGGTCGGAGTTGGCAGATGTGGTGATGCGAGAGAGGAGGGCGACCTCCTTGAGGAGCTCGATCACCTGGTCCCTGTCGAAGGGCTTCGAGAGCTTGCATATCGATTCTCGGTGAGGGATCACCTTCTTCCTCTTCTTTCTCTCCTTCGGGGTTCGCCTGCGTCCATCTCTTCAAATATTTCGTCTCTCTAGTATGAATTAAGTTAATCATATTTCTATTAAAGACCCTTCAACTATTCATGGAGGAGGAATAACAAGAGCTAAAGCTAAAATGATGAAATAAGCCTTAACTTATTTATTAGAAGGCATTTGGAAGGAATAAGCTGGTTAAGATTCGATTAGGATTATATGAATACAAAAAGAGCCTAAAATAATCAATATAATTCAAATAAGTCCAAATTGTGTAGATAAAGTTTAACCTTGAGAGAATGACGAATTTTAATCTATTTTGAAGAATAAAGATCATTTAATCATATTGGACCATATTAAAAATTATGGGCTTATTCATAAATGATTTACATTCAGTCATTCAAATAAGTTTAAGGCATATTCATGATTGATCTACATTTATGAAATGAGAATATGAATATCATTTAATGGATTCATTCCCTTTATACTATATAAACAAGGCTGACTCCCTTTGTAATCAAACAATTTAAAAATATAATCATCTTTCAACACTAGTGAGTGTTTTATTTTTATGTTCTTGCATGAACTTTATGTAAGGAAATTGAGGGGCAGCATCACATGCATAGTAAAAGAACAAAAAATAAAAATTTTAGATTTTCACAAAAAGATTTCATCGTCGTGTGAAGATTGATACACAAAAACCTATAAAACTAAAAACCACATGTGAGATAGCTGTATTACCTAGGGAGAATATATATCCATGAAATCCTGTAAATTTGTAGGAGATGATGAAAGAGGTCAATTGTTCTCCTCTCTAGTGGTGATACACGTAGGGGTTGTGAAGATACTCCTCGAATCGCTGCCTAGTTCTCCACATACTACAAATAGGAGTTGTTGGCTGAAAAGGAGAAGGGGAGAGGAGAATAAGAGGTGGCAGCCAAAAAGACTCATCCTATGACCCTTCGGTTCCCTCCTATTTATAGAGGCTCCTTGTCAACATAACCTTAATAGATCCTACCATATTAGGTATTAAATCTCCATCCAACTACCAAAGTCTCTTAGATTAGTGGATCTCTATCCAATAATTTCTCATTGTCACTTATTTGATCTTATCCATAAGATCTAATAATTTAAGGGCTTATTGGATATCTAGTAAGATAGGGGCTCTAACGGATATCTCATATCTGAACCTTTACTCGTTGTAACACCTATCATATGTGTGTGACCCTCTAGGTCCAATATCGAGCTAATCATGAGTCATACCTATTAGGACGCTTTTTGGCTCAGTGAATTATTAATCTCTATAATAATTTACTTGATTCATCGACTGCAGATTTACTAGGCCACTATGTCATAATAATAATAAGCAAAAATAGTGCATGTTATAATATACAACAAGAATTATAAAGTGAAAAAAATACTATAATAATAATATATAAAAAGAGTGTGTCATGTCACACGTGTCATCACTCACGTGATTGGCTTGTAGGACACTTATGACTAGCATCACTAGTGTCTCAAGTCTAAGGACCAGATACATCATTGGGATAATAGAATCATTGTCTGACAATAAAGCATCATCAACTATCGAGCATTCCCTGAGCGGAGCAATTAGTAAACTCATTCTCTAATGAACACATATACTATATTCATAGTGTCTCCACACGAGTAGCTATGAGACTAGTCGCCTCCATTATATAGACGAGTGTATAGTACACTAGTCTATTTGGTTATCTTGATGTCCCTCTCGAATAACCTATTATTATGATTATTTATGGTTTATGTTTAAAGGTGAATCGGTCTCATTATCATGATGATCCGATTCATACTATATTGATCCATGAATATCACTATATATATATATATATATATATATATATATATATATATATATATGTATATATATATATATATGTATATATATATATATATGTATATATATATATATGTATGTATATATATATATATGTATATATATATATATATATATGTATATATATATATATGTATATATATATATATATATGTATATATATA